AAAGGGTTTAGCCTATTCCAGGAGCCAAGAAGGGCCATTTTTTTTTTTTTTCGGTACGCAGGCGTCTCACTGGTGTGGCGTCTCCCGTTGCTGTGCACAGGCTCCGGACTCGCAGGGTCAGCGGCCATGGCTCACAGGCCCAGCTGCTCCGCGGCATGTGGGATCTTCCCAGACCGGGACACGAACCCGTGTCCCCTGCATCGACAGGCGGACTCTCAACTACTGCGCCACCAGGGAAGCCCAAGAAGGGCCATTTTTGAAGAGCGGGATCTGCCTCTAATGTCATCATGAAAGAGACAGGTTCCCATAGCCAGACATTATCTCATAGTCACAACTTCTGACACAATTAAACGTTTCTTTCGCTAAATCACTAGTATTCTAACCCTCAAATGTCTTCCATTTATCAACACTTTTGACTTTTGGAGGAAAGTTAAGCACACATAGAATCTCAGAGAATATAGGATTAAAAATGTTTGCATTAATGTATTTGATAAAGTGATCAGAGGAAGATTAAATTACAACATGTATGATGTGATATTACAATAAAGCCCCCAAATTATTCCAAGGTGTATATAACACAATTGGTGATGGTCTCCTGAACTTCTTCTACCCCAGCCCCTGCTGCTAAACATGGGTGCAGAGGCTAAGGCTTTCTCTTCTGCGTGGGGTGTGAGGTGAGATAGAGAAAGAGTAGCTGATCCAGCCTCTGGATTCCAGGAGCCGGCAGAAGGATTCCCATGTCCTCATGTTTTTCTGGCTCAATTTTCCAGATTCTTTAACTGCAAGTTTCCTGAATTCCATGCCACACTGTCCTGGAGTCCCAGCCAGCCCCAAGGTGGGGGGGTGGGAGTGGGGAAGGGGAGGTAGGGGGATAGGCGCAAACTGAGACAGGACTGTGTGGATCCGTGGCTGGAGCCTTACTGACACGTTGGCCAGCTTCAGCCAGGCCATCCCATTAGCCTTACAGAAGCACAACTGCATCTGTCACACAACTGAATTTTTAGGACTCTGAGCATGGCATTATGGAGGTCTTCTTTCACACCCATTTTGCTGTGATATTTAGAACTACACCAGATAAGACAAAGTGAAGCACAAGTGTTGATTTATGTAAGATGCATAACTTGAGTCATTGAGCAGCCTGTGCTTTCCTGATTTTCCCCAAAGCCACCTTTTCCAGTGCCCTACTTCGTCCTTGTGTCTATGGGCATTTTCGCTCTTGCCCTAGGGGTTCTCAGAGCTTTAACAGAGGATGCAGGTGTGATGGGGGAGATTTAAAGGTGGCTGCATTCCACTAAGCCTCCCACCAACCTTGCCTATAAAAAGAGGCGGTCAGGGAAGTTACATGAGGAGGTAAATCGTGCAGTGCCACAGGGGCTTCTTGCTTGGGGATGACACGCAGTACAGAGCCACATTCCTTCTCCAGTCCATGAAGATGAGTTTGTGCTATTGGCTGCAAGGAGGACAGTGGAAGAATGACTTTGGTCCAGCTCTACTTGGGAAGGAGACAGCAGGACTGCCATGCTCCATCCATGCCCTCCCACCCTGCAGTGTGTGTGATGTGGAGGGAATCCAGAAGGTCTGAGGCAAGGTGGGGACTAAACGGGGGAGCAGACAGACCTAGAAGCACCCTTCCACCAGATGCAGCCCATGTGGGGAGCACTCAGGAGACCGCGGGCTCCCTCAAGGCCATTGCATGATTTGCCCAGTGGTAAGGGTATCATCAGTCATAAGGTACGGGGAGGTATGTAAGCTGAGGAGACCTATAAAACTGAGGGCTCCTTATTGTTCCACTGGACATGGGGCTGTTTCATCCCTCAAATTTCCCTTCTTTTGCACTGGAGCTGATGTATCTCCCTTGTGATATTCCCAAAGGTCTTAGTCAAGTGGAAGGTACAGAGGGAGAAGCTTAAAGATGGAGCCTTGTTCTTGCATTATGAATCTAAATTCACTTGATTAGATTGCATTTAGCACAAGATATCTAGAACATCTAGACTAAACAGACAGGGGGATTTGAGTTAGTAAATTAAAGCAATTCTAAACATAAAGCTGTATTTTTGTAGTACTAAATTTTAGTACTATCCTATTTGTGAAATATAATGTCAAATATACAGGGGGAAAGAAGAGAGTGGACTCTTTCATTATTACACAGATTTCATTTCACTTTCCCAAAAGGAAACTGACTCAGTTAAATCTGTGGACAGCATGAGTTGAGCCTCACCTTGCTCACAGTAGACTCCAGTGGTTCCTAGTGGACAGTGACAGGTGTATCCATGAGGCAATGAGACACAAGTTGCTCCTTTGCTGCAGTGGTGTGGAGGGTCATGCTCAGGGTCGCAGGTGGAAACTGTCTCCGTGCAGAAGGCTCCTTTCCATCCACTAGGACAGTTACAGCTGTAGGATAAGAAAGAAGGCAGCATGATTTGAGCACCTGATGGGTATACACTCGTATATCCTCCTGATGTTAACTTGGCAGTTTTGCCTGAGGTTCCAAGACAGAAAAGATGTTGTATATGAAAGCCAATTGTGATTTAAACTACCAAGATTCACATTGTCAAAGGAAAGAGCTAATAACTGGTTATGGGATTACTGGACTCCACATTAAGGATTTTAAAAGGTTCAGCCCATGGAAATTGAAAGAAAATTTTATAAGAATCATTTCTTTGGACAAAACAGCATTATAAGTCCCTCTCCTCAACCCCACCCCACCACCCAGGGGGAAGGCTGTGGATGGAGTGGTCTCCTAACTTAAGCCTAGAAAAAAGAAGTTCAGCTTCTATATGTTCCCTGATACTGGGGGATGCACAAGCCCAGCTCCAGGGGCTGCAGAAGGAGCCTCAAACCCTTCCAGTGGTGAGGCCAATGGTAGTGAACCAGACAGGGTTCTGTGGCACTCTGAGTTAGGATCAGCTTGGGGACATATAAAAGGGACCTTGCCCAGAGGGTATCCTGGTATCTGAAGGAACCGTGGCAGTAAGAGGCAGTCAGTTTATGGCTGGAGCAGAATCTGAGGGGTAAAGGACAGTACTCATTCTGAAGAGAGACTTTGTCTTGGTTTAGAGAGTGATATTGGAAGGAGCCTGGTAGGGGAGTCTCTGATGGACTCAGCAAAGGTAGAGTTGACAGATAAAATGCAGGACACCTACTTAAATATAAATGTCAGATAAACAATAAATAATTTTTTAGTATAAGTATGTTCCATTCAATATTTGAATTTCAGCTAAGCAATATTTGAGATATACTTAAACAGAAAAATTACTTTTTTTTTTAATCTGGAATTCAGATTTATCTGCGTGTCCTGTACTTTTCTCCCTAAATCTGGCAACGTTACAGTTAGGGCACATGAGGGAAATGGTTAGCTTGAAATCCCTGCCTGGCACAGAGAACACTAAACAATCAGGTAAACAGTGTGAGTCAAGGGGGCCATTTGAGGATGGTGTGGGTGCAGAGTCAGAAACCACTGGCCCAGGGAAAGACAGCAGCAGAAGATCACACCTCCTCCTGGGACCTTTCATTCATGTGTTGAGACCTGGCTGGGTTTAAGGGTAATAGCCTTGAAGAGTAAAGTGTTATTAGTATTTTGAAGTGGACCATTTGAATTAATGATTGAGAGTGTATTTTTAAATTAAAGAGTTTATTAGTCAAGAGAAACAGAAAGTTCAATGGACCTCCCCATGTTTTAATTCAGGACCAAGAAAAGGATGACTCTATGAAATATGGCCTGGGTATTTTGATAGGGATTGCATTAAATTTGTAAGTTGCTTTGGGTGGTATGGCCATTTTAACAATATTAATTCTTCTAATCCAAGAGCATGGCTATCTTTCCATTTCTTTGTATCATCTTCAGTTTCCTTTTTCAGTGTTTTACTGGACATGGGGCTGTTTCACCCCTCAAATTTATCTTCTTTTGCACTGGAGCTGATGTGTCTGCCTTGTGATACTCCCAAAGGTCTTACTTAGTCAAGTGGAAGGTACAGAGGGGGAAGCTTAAAGACGGAACCTCATTCTTGAATTTCAGAGTTCTCAGAGTATGGGTCTTTCACCTCCTTGGTTAAATTTATTTCTAGGTATTTTATTCATTTTGATGCAATTTTAAATGGGATTATATTTTTACTTTATCTTTCTGATAGTTCATTTTTAGTGTATCAAAATACTCATGACATTTTTCACAGAACTAAAGCAAATATTCCTAAAATTTGTATGGAAAAACAAAAGACTCCAAGTTGCCAAAGCAATCTTGAGAAAAAAGAACAAAGCTGGAGGTATCATCTCCCAGACTTCAGACTATACTACAAAGCTACAGTAATCAAAACAGTGTGGTGCTGGCACAAAAACAGGCACATAGCTCAATGGAAGAGAATAGAGAGCCCAGAAATAAACCCATGCACCTGTGGTCAATTAATCTATGACAAATGAGGCGAGAATATATAATGGAGAAAAGACAGTCTCTCCAACAAGTGATGCTGGGAAAACTGAACAGGTAGATGTAAAAGAATGAAATTAGAACATTTCCTCAGACCATATAAAAAAAAAACTTAAAATGGATCAAAGACCTAAATGTAAGACCTGAAATCATAAAACTCATAGAAGAGAATGTAAGCATAACACTCGTTGACATAAATCATAGTAATATTTTCTTTGGCTATATCTCCTAAGGTAAAAGAAATAAGAGCAAAAATAAACAAATGGGACCTAATTAAGCATAAAAGCTTTTGCATAGCAAAGGAAATAATAGACAAAAATGAAAAGACAGCCTATGGAATGGGACAAAATATTTGCAAATGTTATTACCAATAAGGGGTTAGTATCCAAAATATATAAATAGCTCATACAACTCAATATCAAAAAAATACCCAACCCAATCAAAAAATGGCAGAAGACCTAAATAGACATTTTTCCAAAGAAGACATACAAATGGCTAACAGGCACATGAAAATATGCTCAACATCATTAATTATTAGAGAAATGCAAATCAAAACCACAATGAGTTATCACGCCACACCTGTCAGAATAGCTATTAGCAAAAAGACAACAAATAACAAGTGTTGGCGAGGATGTGGAGAAAAGGGAGCCCTTGTGCACTGTTGGTGAGAATGTAAATAGTGCAGCCCCTATTGAAAACAGTATGGAGTTTCCTCAAAAAACTAAAAATAGAACTATTATATGATCCAGCAATTCCACCGCTGAGTATATATATCTGGCAAAAACAAAAAGACTAATTTGAAAAGATACACGCACCCCAATGTTTATAGCAGCACCATTTACAACAGCCAAGGTATGGAGGAAGCAACCCAAGTGCCCATCAACAGATGAACCATAGATTTTTCCTTTTACATTTAAGTCTTGATACTTCAGAAATTATTTTTTTGTGTGTTTGATATGGGGTAAAGATTCAATTACAGTTTTCCACATGGATAACCAATAGTCCTAACACTCTTTATTGACTTCGTCATCCTTTTTCACTGATGAGCCCTGTCCATTTATGCAAGGTCCTGTGCCTCTCCATCCTGTTCCATTAGTCTGTTAGTCTGATCTTGTGTCTTAATTTCTCCCACTTTATAATAGGTGGCAAATTCTGCTACCCTTGTTCAGGGTTGTTTTGGCTATTCTTAGCCCTTTGCTCTTTCACATATTTTCCCATCAACTAGTCCCAAATTCAAGATAGGCAAATTTTCTTGCTTTCTTCTTGTTGTAAAATGGGATTTATTTTTCATTATTTTTACATTGAGAGTGTACCTCTTAGGGGCCCCAGGCCTGTGAGCAGTCTCCTTAAAATTCCCCACTTGTGGCAGTCCTTCGCTTTTAGGGCTGGTCCACTGTAACCTGTGCAGCTCTCAAAGGTAAATTCACACAGCCCCAAGGTTTTGACAGGAACTCGCAGCAAAAGTCAACTTTGACACCTATTTTCTAGACTCCTGTTTTCATTTCATATTGTTTTTACTTCAGGTAACAGTGTTCTGAAAATACACATTCTATATTTTATTCAGATTTGAATATTTTCATTTGGAAATATCATTCAGTATATATAATCTCCCATACTTTCACAAACGGAACTCCCTATCAATAAACTTTTTTAAAAAGAAATAAAACATAATATTTAGAAACATCTTTCTATATTTATTAACTCGTACAACTTCATATTTAATGGTTTAATATTATTTCATTGAATTGATGAAATATACTTTACTCTCACAGTCACTTGTGCGATATTAGTTTATATATTATGTTTTTAAGTTTTCACTTTCTACAAACAACACTGTGATAAAACTATTGTAACTAAATCTTTCTGCATATCTATGATAATTTTCTCAAGATAAATTCAAATATTACCATGACTTCTAGGCTTTGGATACCTATTCTAACCTGCCCTCCATAATAATTTTATCAATTTACATTACTATCATCAGCTTATGAGGATGCCTCTGAAATAACAGGTTTGTATGTAATTGAAAATATGGAACACTTTTACAGGCTTATTGTTTTTTACTGACCCAATAATCATTATTTTATATTTTATTAAAATAAAAATGTTTTAGGGTCTGCCTAATTTTTATTTATTTATAAATAAATTTCACAAATTTTCACATATTTATCAAGAACATATTCATTTTGGGCAAAAGACCTTAATAGACATTTCTCCAAAGAAGACATACAGATGGCCAATAGGCACATGAAAAGATGCTCAACATCACTAATTATCAGAGAAATGCAAATCAAAACTACAATGTGGTATCACCTCACACCAGTCAGAATGGCCATCATTAAAAAGTCCACAAACAATAAATGCTGGAGAGGGTGTGGAGAAAAGGGAACTCTCCTATACTGTTGGTGGGAATGTAAATTGGTACAAATATAGAAAAGAGTATGGAGGTTCCTCAAAAAACAAAAAATAGAGCTATCATGTGATCCAGCAATCCCACTCCTGGGCATATACCCAGATGAAACTATAATTTGAAAAGATACATGCACCCCTATGTTCATAGCAGCGCTATTTACAATAGGCAAGACAGGGAAACAACCTAAATGTCCACCAACAGATGAATGGATAAAGAAGAAGTGGTATATATACACAATGGAATATCGCTCAGCCATAAAAAAGAGTGAAATAATGCCATTTGCAGCAACACGGATAGACCTAGAGATTATCTTACTAACTGAAGTAAGTCAGAAAGAGAAAGACAAATACCGTATGATATTTATGTGTGGAATCTAAAATATGTCATAAATGAACTTATCTACAAAACAGAAACAGACTCACAGGCATAGAGAACAGACTTGTAGTTGTCAAGGGATAGGGGGTGTGCGGAAAGAATGGACTGGGAGTTTGGGATTCAAAGATGCAAACTAGTATACATAAAATGGATAAACAACAAGGTCCTACTGTATAGTACAGG